TCGGCCCTTGGTGCTCACAGTCCCCCTGTGGTACTTGCTGGACTGGACTGGGACTCTCTAGACCCTTCTCCTGACTGTAGGCAGTCGTACCGTCGACTCAGTGCAGTTGCACTGAGGTCCTACCTGTTGACCTTGCCACTSGTCTTCGTCTGAAAAACGTGGGCCTACCTTAGACTCACCACTTGACCACTTGCCGACCTTCTAGAAGGACTAAAGCTGGGCTTCTGGACTCTACTTGGACTCCTACCYTACAGGTCTACAGTTCGAATCTTCCTACAGCCTACAACCTACGGTGACCTACTTACCACTGGCTATCGTGCAGGTCACGGGTTCAACTCCAGGGAACTGTACAGATACTGTACACAGGTAAGCTGAGGTCAAGGGATCGACCCCTGGGATCTGCATCGGCTACTGCCAAAGGTGAAAACTGTTTCAGATTGACCATTGCTTCCTCTTGGGATCAATTTTCTGCTCCACCTGAGGGAAGTCTTGACTAAGGTTCTGCCAAATGCCACCTGCCCTAGGAAGTGTCCTTGCAGACTTCAGCAAACAAAAAGCAGTCAACATCTAACATTGTGAACCTGGAACAGCCTTGTACGAGTTTCAAGATTGCCGAGAAGGCAAGTCTCGTGTGCTTTTTTTTTTCCTTTTTTTTTCCCCAGTTTGCAGATGTGCACCGCCCGTCCAACCCATTTACATGCTTTGCCTCTTATCCAGTCTTCCCCTACGCTCTCAGCTGAACTTCTATAAGTTGGATTCCCCATTTAAAGACACCGTCTCTTCTTCCTGTCCACCTGCAATTTCTCCAGAAATCTCTCCAGTCCAGTTACAGAAGAGAAGGGTGCATCCCTTTTTGTTATTTCAAGATTTTGCCACAAGACCCTGACAGCAAGGGATGGCCGCTGGGTTACATGGCTGGAGAAGGGCGTGTGGCAAGTGGAAAAACTTCGGAATGTAGAGCAGAACCGATGAAACGCCAGCAGCGAACTACGAGAGAAGCTTAAAGGATGCCACAACCTGCAACAGAATCTGGAGGTCCTTCTTCATTCTGTGCCACATCGGTGGAATGATTTGTTACACGGCTCCGCCGAGTGGCCAACTGGAGAATGGGCCACATGGATGACTGAGGACCCACCCTCTTGTTCATCAGATCGGTGGGCCCGGGGGAAGCATGGGCCCTTCTCACGATTCATGACATTGTGCAGCCGGGAGCAATGGTCAGCCAAATGGATAGAACTGTGCGCACACAAGCGGCATTCTCCTTCGGTCAGCTCAGAAAAGTGTGAATCATTGAAGACGAAGATTATAGGATCTACGAGCTGACCACCCCTATTCAGGACCTGGAATGCGATCCGGTGGAGTAGGCTTGGGGGTTTGGCAGCCCTCCAGTTCCACCAGAATCGAGCGCCGTATCAATGTGCTGAACTACTCCACACGCCTGGGATACAGACTGCGATGGAGGGTGGATAACACCTCTGACACATTGGCGCAGAGATTGGAAAAGCACATACCGGGCAGCCTGGGGGGAAGAAGAACAATCCCATGGCATGCAGTGCTCTTGATCCGTCACACTCGAATGGCTATCAGTCTACCATGTGAAACGGTATTCACCAGTTCGCAATAGCTGATGCAGATCCCAGGGCTCGATCCCTAGCCCCCACCTTACCTGTGTACAGTACCTGTGTCGACCCGTAGAGTTGAACCCGCGACCTGTGTATTTGTAGCAGTTGGTMGGTTGTYRTAGGGTCCATASGTGGCATGGGTTCGATCTGTAGACCTGTCGGATAGGAGTCCCAGTCAGGTCTAGAGGTCGTAGCTGTAGTCTTCTCGAAGAGTCAGGGTCRTAGCTGCTACAGTCCATAAGGGTCAAAGTCGTAGCTGCYACAGTACCGAAAGGCCAAGTCTACGGCCTTCCGGAAGGTCCCAGTAGTGGCCTTTCGAAGTTGCCCACGTTTAGACTGAGGMARGTGGCCAAGTGGCGAGGCAAGTGGTCAAGTGGTGGAGTCTACCCGTGCTGAGTCAGCAGTCCCAGTCCCCAGTCAGTCCTGGTCCAGTCYAGCAAGTACCGCATGGGACTGTGTGCATTTCGGGCATGGGAAAGGGCCAGACCAACGAGCTGCAGAAGTAYAAATCAAGAGSCAGCGCCCAGCCATTCATTCATTCCTSCGTGAGCCATGCGGAAGCGCTGCCACAGCGACTTGTGCAAGGAGGTCTGCAGYGAGCCCGARGACGAAGTGGGCAGAGAGACGAAGCTTAGCCATAGCGATAGGGTAGAGGCGGCCATAGCCGCCATAGCTGTAGTTAGTGTTCAGTGTGTGTGTGTGTGAGTGTTCAGAGAGACG